CTCACTCTCACTCTCACTCTCACTCTCACTCTCACTCACACTCACTCACTCACTCACTCACTCACTCACTCACTCACTCACTCACTCACTCACTCACTCACTCACTCACTCACTCACTCGCTATTAGTCAGTGAATCAGCAGGCAGCTTGTCAATTAGTGGGCTGGCTGTTTCTGGTATGTCCCATTTGCGTGTTGCAGATGGGGCTGCATCTTCTAGCTCCCGCGGGCTTCGCCACAGGTGCTTCAGCATTTGGACATGAGCTATAACCAGATCCAGAACCGAGGCGGCCTCGACTTACCTGTCGTGACATTGGCCATTGATGCCACCAGCTCCTGTACGTAGACGAGTACTTGAAGCCATGCTCACGCAACATACGAACTGAGCTTGCAGAAACGAGCAACTGGAGTCTCTTGGGCTGCGGAGAGATGCATTCCGAATGCAGTTGTTCAGATTTGGCTGGGCGCCGTAACAAAGCTACACCCAAGCCATGACAGGCCAGCAGAGCCAACAGATGCAGCAGATACATAGACAATCCTTGGGCCCGAAGCATTTTGCAAAAGCCGAGCTCACGACACCATGCAATCTCTAGATTTTGTCCCAACGTGTCCCCGAAATCCTTCAAATTCAGCGATGCCACGGGATCATTCCAATTTCATCCGAGCGCTTACTCTTCTCAACAAACGTCTTTGGATGTTTTGAGCGAGGGCGTGGCCAAACCGACGCCCGACGCCTCCGCTCCTTTGCCACGCAGGCGCTCTAGCCTTGGCGGACGCCATGCGCAGCAGCCGATTGCAGGACATCATCCTCCGCACCAACCAAGTAGGTGATGCAGGCGCAGTGCGTTGCACGACATGTTTGTCAGGCTAGTGAAGCCTTGCTTCTGAGTAGTTGTGCAGTATATTTTGCTTTCCGTACCGCAACCACCCTTTGCCCGGCCTGGATCCACCCAACCTGCTGACCTAATTGGAGCGCGCCAGGTGTCACGGCCTTGGCCGAGGTGTTGCAGAAGCACAAGACTTTGCTGCACCTGGCGCTGGACAACAACCAGATCACACAGTGGCGAGACGGCACTGGCCAAGTGCACGCAGCTTAACCCCAAAAGGCTTTCTGCAATTCATGAGGGTTCATCTGATCCTTCGCAGGCGTTTGATCGGCAAAGGCCTTCGACTCGAACGGACCACCGATGGATTCTCCGTCGCTGAGGCTGGGTGCCACCGCCCTGGCGCGGGCCCTGCACAAGAACCGGTCCCTGCAGTTCCTGGCGCTGGACCTGAACTGCATCAGGGACGAAGGCGGGATCGAAGAGAACGGAGAAGTGGACAGTTTGGCCAAGAGAAGTGAAGTTCCCTGAAAATGGGAAGTGAAGTGAAGAATGGGATGGGAGAATTGGATGAGACTTGGGACAGTTTGGCCGGCAACCAGTTGGGATGCTGAAGTGCCTCCCAGGTGCAGCACAGCTGGCCCAAGCCTTAAAGCAGAACCGCAGCCTGCTGACTCTGCGGGTCAGCTCCAATGAGATCGGCGAGGAAGGCGGCCAGCCGAGAGGGCAATTGCACCAATGTTCGGATTTCAAGCTTGCGGAATGTTCCAATTCGTCAGTCGCCCATTGCGTCATATGCAAGTCCGCCTGGGCACCATAAAACAAGTCCTTGCTGTTCCAATGCTTCTCTTCCGTGGGTGACATATCCGATATTGCTGATGATTGGTGGCGGAATTCTCCAAGTTTAATTTGTTCGAGACATGTCGAACAGGTTCGGGTTTATTTTTTCTGAGATGACCGGATCTTTTCACACCAGGTGCCACAGCGCTTGCCGATGCGCTGCGACAAAACCACACGCTGCAGAATCTTGCTGTGAGCTGCTCGGGCATTCTGTGCTTTCGAAGATCACCCCATCCGTTATTTGCAAGACTCGGCCAATGGCACATCTTTGTGCTACTTCATTGGTGTGTGAGATTGGCAGAAGAGCGCTCAAAGATGAGTACAAGAGCATGGGTTGCTGGCATGCTTGTGAAGTTCAACTGATCCGATCAAGTAGGGATGATCCTCAACCAGTCTTTTGTTTTGGTAGAGTTGTTTTGCTCTCTTCCGTTCTTCGACTCCCTCTTCTCTTGGTTCACTCTTCTTGACAACGAGGTGTGCGCTATGAGATGATTGGTTGTTTGACATGAACGTTGATATGTGCTAGCCCTGGCGCTGGTGCACTTTTGAATTTGGCTACCACTTCTGTGCATCGCTCCAAGTTTGCAGGCAGTACTGCAGCTTCTGTTTATTTCTGTTTCTGGAGTCCATTTCATCGATAGACGTGTTGTGCTTGTTTAGCGTATGGGCAGAATTTGATGCCAGCGTGAGTGCAAAAACATATTCTATTCAATTTGATGGGGGCACTACACAAAATGCTGGCTTCATTTGTGCCATCTCAAGCATGCGGCATAGATGCTCGAATACTGATCATCCTGCTGAATGTGAAACTTGATACGAAAGGTAAACTACTCTCACGTAGCACTTAAGGTGCAAACCTTGTACGGAGAGACACCCTAACGGTATGCTTCTTGCTTAGGAGGCCGCACATGTACTGCTCACTTCTCTGGGTAGCAGCAACGCTCGTGCTCTGCAAGGGTACAGGAGAACATTCAAGAATAAGGGTGTTGCGGTTGTGTTTGCTTCCTCCTTCCTTTCACTAGTTCTGAAAACACGGCTTCCCGTGCTTCAGCTGACAAGCAAGCTGCCCGCTTGGGCCTCCTCAGGCTCCAACAACATCGGGCAGCACGGCGCCACAGCCCTGGCCAGCGCGCTGCGGGAGAACCGCATCCTGTCGTCGCTGGACGTGAGGCTGAATGGCATCGGCAACCTCGGGGCGCCTAAGCCATCAGCCTTGGCGCGTGGCACGCCTCCTTCACGAGAAGTCCAAATGCTTGCCCTGGGACCCGCGGAGAAGCTGTATGTTCAACCCTTTCATTTTCCCTTGCGACTATGGTATGTTTCTCGCGGACAAATTGTTTTTGTCCCATCTTGACTGCAAGGGGGGGGAGGGGCGAGAGTCATGAATGCTGGCTGTGAACCACTGCTTGCATGAATGCCCGAAGCACTTTCTATAGGAATCGCCCGGTGATGCAGCGGTATGAATTCAATCCCAAAAGAAGGCAGGATGTTTTTGCTTTCCCGAGATGGTCTCTCCAAGCTTCCGGCAGTTCACTTAACCGATTGGCTCATGATACCCCCTAGTCTGTACACTCCGATGCCATTGTCAACTAAAGATCACACTTAGAGGATTCAAATGCCTTGATCTTCGTGCTTCAATATCATATTCTTGTGCAGAGTTCATTGCCAGTACCCACTGGAAAATGCGGCCCCACCAATGCGCTTCGAGCTATCCGCACGTGAGGTGACTTCCCTGGCGGATGCTTTGCGGCAGAACCAGACGCTGCAGCACTTAGCAGCCCGAGCCTGAAGCGGGGAACCTGAAATTTGGCTTGCCGCTTCCGACAAAGTTTGGGGGTTTTCTTCGGTCACTACCGGAGATTGCCATTCTGGGACTTAAAAGATTGAAATGCCGGAAGGTTTAGGACGGCTTGTTGGGCGACTGGAAGCTGCGGGGGGACGAGCGACGCAAAGCGACTGAGGTTGGCAACAACCAGATCCAGCGGCAGGGCGCAGAGGCCCTGGCGGAGGCTCTCAAGGAGCCGGCTGGCCAGTAGGAACCTGGGACGCCGAAGTGTGCAGTCAGGGATCATGCTGAAGACAAGGAGGGGTCGATTTGGGGGTAAATTGGGGGTAAATCTGCCAGGAGAATCGATCCCTGCAGCACCTGGACGTTCGCTTCAACGACGCGTGGTGGTGAGAGATGTGTCTGGATGACTGCAGCTACTTTTGCCCAACAGTTGGCAGGTGGGGAGCAAGGATTTGCCAGCTCCGATTCTACCATAGGTGTCCTGGGTGATTCTCCATAGAATCAGAGGGTGATGAAAGGTCTTGTGGCGAGGTCTTGTGGCGAGGGGCTAGAAGCCATTGCCTGCCTTAGCTATCAGCAAGAATATTTGCAGTGGGTTGATTCGTGGAGCATTTGCCGAGGACATCGGAGATCTGGGTGCTGCAGCTCTCACAGATGCTGCTTGGCAGCGATTGTTGGAGCTGAGACCTTGGAGGGGACCCGGAATCTCTCACATTCCATTGTATTGAAGAATCCGACTGACGTCCTTCTCTTTTCCTGCACACAGGGGTTGAATACAACAGGCAGGTCAATTGAAACAGACACAAGCCAAGATGAGCGGCCACGTTGACGTGCGCATGTTGGACATATGCTTTGCATGTTTTGTGCACAAACACATGCACGGGCAGAGTCGCTCAGTCGGTGCTTCAGGCTCTTAAGGACAATCAGACGCTGCGACATCTGGGTGTTGCTTCCAGTGAGGTGGGCCAGTTGCTTGGCTGCGAAGACTTTTAGCTCCGCGGGCGATTTCTTCACGATGTATCCTGGCACCCCCCGCCTCAAATTCACGCGGCGTGTACGTAGCTGAATAGCAACCCGGCGCTCCCTTGAACACGTGCTTTTGGCAGGGTGACAAATTCAAAGATGCAACACTAGCACAATTCTGGGGCGACATATTCAGGGGCCTCTCAAACAACCCCACGTTTGCAGTACACCCAAGAATCTTATTTTCTTGAAAGCACTCGTTTGGGTGTCGGTTCTGTATTGAGGCTTCCTTAAATGGGCAGGATGAAAAGAGTTTGTTGTCGAGCAAGCGGTGGCTCCAACAATACACTCTACTGCAGGAAAATGAACTGTCGCCCGTTTTGCACGTGTGAAATCTCCTTTGATGGAGGTGTGCTATTGCTTGCCTAGGACAGATGGCAAGGATCAACATGACATACTGGGGTCAGATGTTCTGATTGCTGAATGGGTTTCGGCACAGCGTACTCGATAAATTTTGCACATTGCACGCCTTTTAGAGGCAGCCAATGCCAGCAATTCTCCAGCCACTTGTGCTTGCCTGATCCGCTTTCAAGTAGCAACTTGCACAGATCATCAAATCTACTTTCTCCAGGCCCCCTGCTTCTCAGGATGGCCAGACACAGACACACGCACACACACACACACATCTAAATCTACATGTATTCATACATGATGTGTGTATATATATATATATACATATCTATATATATATATACACATGGAAAAAGGCATACACATGTGTATATCTACACGTGCAGATCCACATGTGAATATCTTCTGGGCCTCTAGCCGACTACGCCTCTTTGAAGTTATACCATGTCATGTCATGTTTTTTGTATGAGAAACGTATCCTGTGCTATGATATGGCTGGTTAGGTTATGCATGTTGCCCCAGATGATGCCGGGCATGCCAGCTTTCTGGGCCCCAGCCGGGCCCCAACCCAGAAGGCTGACATGGGGTCGCGCGCGCGTGCGGCAGAAGGCCCAAAAACCAACGGGAAAAAAGCAAGGACCGCGCAGCACGCGAGCCAGCCACAGCAAAAGCAAAACGGACAGAACAACAGCCCACCGCTCAGCACAGCAGTTTTCGACGGTATTTGCAGCGTTTTGTAGAGCAAGGACCCAGCGTCGCCGGCATGCCCGGCAGCGCTTGGCGCCAAAATGCGCGAAAATGAGCCTCGCTCATATCCCTCCGATACCTTCTAAAAAACAGTGCCTCATGGGTTGAGAGGCTTTTTGGAAGGAAGTCTTGATGATGCAGACCAAGCTTTGTTGAAGCATCACCCAGGCCCAACCCCAGACCCTGATGATGTCAGCCACATGGCCTAAACCCTGCAGACACGCGATGTTGCGCGAGGGTTTCCCACAGGCAAGCAAAACCGCAAGCCCGAGCTGGTGATGCAGAGGTGCCGGATTTAGGCAGCGCATCACGACCAAGTGGCGAGGGGCGGCGGCACCAGGGTGCAGCCCCTATAGCTAAAGCTAGCAGACTACCTGCCTAGCGGCGACATGCTACGGAGGCGTAGCCGGATCTAAGGGCTGCCGCCCTGTGCCGCCGGCGTTTTTTGTCGGGTTTAGCGCCACACTTAAAGCATATATGCAAAAGAAGAGCACCACGATTAGGATCATGCTTTTGATGACGCAAACTATTGCCCAACATTTGGGGTGGTGATTTTAATTACTATGCATTCGCATTATCCAGCAGTCATGATGATAACTGTTACTTCACAGTTTTTGCATCACCAGCAGTTGTCGTGAGAATTATGACGACGCATTCCCTGCATCTCAAACAAGCTACTGCAGGGTTAATTCGCATGATAGGGAGCACCTTGTTGGATTTTACAAGAAGTGCCCCCGGTGTGTGGCAATTTGGGCAGGAAAATCATGTTAGGGCCACTTTGTTTTTTTGTTCGCAAGACTTCGTCGTATTGCTGTGGATGTAAAGCGTGGACTTTGTGTCATCGCTTCGTCTTCGCGAGAAGTAAGCTGTTAGCGCCCCGGGATGCAATCAGATGGTGATGATGATGATGATGATGATGATGATGAACTATGCACCCCTGGCGTCACCAGCAGTTATCATGACAATCATGACTACGCATCCCCTGCATTTCCAGTCGGGTCATGATGATGATGATGATGATGATGATGATCCTGATGATAATCATCAACGCATCCCCAGCATTACCAGCAATTATCATGACAATCATGACTACGCATCCTCTGCATTTCCAGTTGGGTCTAACGGCACACTTGAAACGTTTTTTAAAAAGAAGAGCGCCAGCTGATGTTCATGACTATGCATCCGCAGCATCGCGAGCAATCATGATGATAATCGTCACTTTGCATGTCAAGTCAGGTCATGATGATGATGATGATGAAGTCACGTCATGGTGATGATGATGATGACGATGATGACGATGATGATGACCCTGACGATAATCATCCCGACGCATCCCCAGCATTATCAGCAGTTATGATGGTAATCATGACTACGCATCCTCTGCATTTCTAGTGGGGTCTAACGGCACACTTGAAACGTATATGAAAAAGAAGAGCGCCGCGCTAATGACGATGATCCTGTTGATGCAAATCAGTGATGCTGAAAATCATCACTATGCATCCGCAGCATCACCAGCAGTCATGAAAGGGTATGAGGATGATGATGATCTTGATGATCATGACTATGCGTCACCTGCATTCTAAGTCGGGTCTAACGGCACAATTGAAGCGTATATGAAACAGAATAATGATGATGATCCGGATGCTGCGAACCATCACGCGACATCAGTGGTAATGATATTCATCACGGAGACAAGGACGAATACAAACCCTTCCCATGCGCCCCCCTTTGGAGAAAGGGGTCGGCGGATTTAATATCTACATGTATATATCTACATGTGTAACAGCTCTTCCTGGGAGGCTGTGAAATGGGATGTCCTGTTCCAAGGTTTGGCAAGGCATCTCTGGCGGACATGATGCAAAAGCGGATGCTGGCGCGGCACCACTGCATGAGCTTGGGCAGCCACCCAGCGCCTCAGCTTCCAAAAAGACTAGTTGGACAGAGCAGCAATCTTAGTTTCATGTCGGCATTCGGTAGCATTGCAAACAAACATGCAACGGCCGCAGCATTTGAAGAGTAGGAACAACAGTAAGAAAACGTGTGCGTCCTGCTCTCTCTCTCTCTCTCTCTCTCTCTCTCTTCTCTCTCTCTCTCTCTCTCTCTCTCTCCCTCTCTCTCTCTCTCTCTCTCTCTCTCTCTCCCTCTCTCTCTCTCTCTCTCGCTCTTCTCTTTCTCTTTTTTTTTGTCTCTCTGTCTCTCGAAGGGGTTGCGCAGTGTTGGGTTTGTGCAAATTGTTAGAGTTTGCGGCTGACATCCTGTTTAAAGGAAAGAGTTGGTCGGGCAACTGGCTCATTCCAGAGCTTGCCTCGATCCAGGTGAAACGAAAGCCGCCGCCTCCTGCCTGCGAAATTCAGTGAGCCAAATCCATGGAGCTGGGCGGGGGTCAACTCCCATGCCCGGGCTGACTTGATGCGAGCGCGCGAAAGGAAGGTGACGTACTGAAAGAACAGACAGATGGGAGTGTGTCTTACTTTTCGATTTGGTTTGGTATTATTGGCGCCACTATTTTCATGGCTTGTCACACTGCCGTGCTGATGTCTTCTGCTTAACATCCAAGATCTTACCATCACCTTTGCGAGCGCCGCAGTCTGCACTTCCTTTGTCGTTTCCCTTTTTTAATGCGCAGAAGCCTGAGGCTTGAGGTCGGCTTAAGAGCCTCGTATCAGATGAAGCGTGATGATGTCATTTGTATTTTTCTGTTGCTCCCTTTGGCCGTAAGTCAAGGACTCAGTGCACTGCAAACACGACTGGTGTCATGGCGTCACGGGATGCATGACGATTCGACATATTTCGACGGGCTGCCATCCCGACTCAAGCAGACTGTTCCGTTTGAGGATCGACCAAAGATGAGACAATTCTATCATCACCAAGGAGGTGTAGCCAATGGTAGGCTGCGTGGCAGTTGAACAAGTCAGTGTATGGACAGACGAGAACAGGCTCATTTGATCTGGCTTGCCTCAGCAGATGCAGCAGCATCCATGACTGCATCACATGAATCAGATCGCGTTTTTTGCCCGAGCTATGCAACTGGTACAGTGTTGTTTTGAACTCGCTGGATGCAGTTGATGGATAAGCATCCGAGCTGTGCAGAGCACTTACTCAAGGAAGGGTGTGCCTGATGGCTCAAAGGATTTAGATAATTACAAGTGCTCTGCTCAGCTTCCATTTACCTGCCACTATGTCAAGAATTGGAGTGGGTGCACGACGAATTTCCCTCGGCTGCAAGATGTGAGTGTCCTCAAATCTTTTGGACGCCGGCATACAGCGTTGAATTGTCTGAAATCCACCTCGCTCTGGAGGGCTGAGGGGTTGTTCCCCGGGTCGGCTCAAGGCCACCCAGCGACGAAGAAGCCAAAAAACCGGCGCAGTTGCGGCTGGGCTGTTTTTGCCTCTCCTGCGCCGTGTCGTTACTTGAGCAAGCACTGTCCGTCCACGGAACTCCTAAACACCCCCGTTGTTTTTTGGGAAGCTGGACGCAACATCTGCTTGTGATTCAATTCAGCAGGATCCGGCCAACACCACACATCCGACAGCAATGCAAAGTGGCAGTTTCCTGGAGCTTCCATGGAAACTGCAGCATGGTCACAAGGCTTAAGACTGATTTTTCGCTGTTGCCTTGACGGGATCCCGTGAAGGTCTCAAGGCAGTTCTGTGATTTCGGTGTGTCCTCTAAGGGCCATGGTGGCAGGCTGGTGCGTGGCTGGGTTGGCGCAGGACAGTCGGCGGGTAGTCCCGCGATCATTTGCACCCTCAAAACCATGAGTCGGTAAAAACGGATATACTGGCGTTCTTCCTTGGTGTTGTGGAGATGCTGAAGTTGCGGGGGAGACCCATGCAGAGACCTGTCATCTCACCAGGCTTGCCCTTTGTGGACTTTGAGGCAGTACCATCCACGGCGTGGATTCTTATGTCTGGCATCAAAGTAGTCTGAGCGACTCAGCACGGAGTTGCCAGGTTCTTTCGAACCGCCAGGGCCCCAGATGGTGCATAATTTTAGTTGGCTCTCCAAGGTGCAATAGCCTTTTCCACTTTTTTTTGGATAGTGTTGATTGTTTGGCTAGCAACGCAACGCTCACAAGTTGCTAACTCAATATAGGCACAGCTGGCAATTCGCGCCACTCCGTTCCTGGTGCATGCACGGCCAAGAGAGTCTTAGACGTCTTCGTACTCTGCAGACAGCGGATAGCTTGTACAACCGTGTCTCCAGTTTCCCTCTTTCTAACCAGCAGGCTGTGACCGATGCTTCCTTGGCACACATACTTGCTGATTGCAGACCTTGGCCTGTTCAAGGATTCTGTTCAGACCAGGCTGCGTTGGGCTCGCAGTTCGTGTTCTTGAGGTCATCCTTCAGGGAAGGAGAGCGTGTGCGTGTACAGGGCCTCAAGGCCTGATCACCTGATCGCCTGATCGCCCGTGGCCTCGCCTCAAAGAGTTCCGAGATCGCCGGTGTCCAGTAAAGCTGCAAGGACTGGTCTTACTGAGAGAAGAAGCAGCGGCAATGGGTTCCCTTCAGTCGGTTATGTAGCTCCGGTCTTCTTGCAGCACATATGAGTACCAACCATTTCGCGCGGGGTACAGCTGCTGTCAAGTGTGGTGTATATTTTCGCCTTCAGTTGGGTCTTCAGCTTTGAGTCTGTTGGATGCCTCTGCACCGCTCAGACCCAGGTGTGTAACTGCATTGGATCCCTTTTGTGTGACCCCCGTGGTTTCACGAGCAATCCCTCGATGTTTCAGGCGAGAGCCGACTTGAACGGCAGCCTCGGGACTATCGTGGAGTGGGATGAGGCAGAGGAGCGATGGAAGGCCAGGTGGGCTGAGGCGAGAAGCTGATAGCGTCTTTCGTCTTGCTGTTCATCACAGCACAGGTGCACATGGATGATGGTTCCGGCAAGATGCTGCGGAGCTGTCACTTAGAAAGATGCCGCCCAGCGCTTAGCCGACTTCGGGCCCGGCTCGTGCAGTTCAATAAGTTCCAAAGCGAAAATTCAAGTGATTTCGACTGAGGCCCAGAACCCACGACCGTGTTCACGCCGGATCCCAAGTGGGAGCGTTAGGCCCCAGGTGAAAGATGCGCTGAGAAAGCTGGACTTTTGGGGGTTTACGTTGCACAATTCCCAGAGCCTGTAAAGTCAGTCTTGCTCACATTCAGTTGTGCTCTTCTGGACTTGACAGGCCGAACTTGCCGGGCCAGGAGGAGAACAAAGAGGAGTGGTGCCCCGCGAGCCACGTCGAAGGTTGATTCAGGTTTTCCCTTGGCCCGTGTTTTTTTTCCCTCTCCGAGTCACAATCCAACTAGACGTTCCCTTTTGGCGGCTTCAAAAAACACTTAAGTTGGTCGTCAACGTGAAATGAGTCCCTTCAATTGTTGCCCTTTGGGACTTTTGATTTTTCAAGGTCGCGAGCTGGCACTGAGGGGCGGGGGACAACGCCCCAACATCCCAAAAAGACCCCCCAACATCTCAAAAGACCCCGAGACATCTCACCCCAACATCCTGACTAGACACCACAACATCTTAAGCAACTCCTTGACACGTTGGTCCAACATCTGAGATCCGGGTCCAACATCTGAGATCCGAGCCAGGACTCCCAGACAGCCTAACATGTGCGAGAACACCTTTCCCCGACGCCACGTAAAGGCACACGAACATCTTCAGCAGCGCAACAACATCGAACGTGCCTCTGACACGGTCTAAGGAAGCTTCCAAAGAACTGCTGTGGTATCAAGACTGGGGGAAAACTTGTCTTGCGCATAGAAAAGATGAAAGAATGAATGTCTGCGCGAAAACATGCGTGCGCGCGCGAAAACGATTCCGCGCTTCGGCGGGTCTACGTTGATGATAAGCAGCTCTGTCTCGACACCAGTCTGGCGCGGGCTTGCGGTCTCGTTGCGGGCGCTACGGGATCTCACGGGTCGCGCCCACAGCCCGTTGACTGGCACAGCAATACGAAGGCTTCGCAAGAGTGTCATTGCGGTGACGCGCAGATTTTGTGGCAGGCGCAGCGCTTTTGCAAGGTCACGTGCAGGTTCCACGGCAGGCGCCGCGCTTTGGCGCGGTCAGGTGCAGATTTCGTGGCAGGCGCCACACGTCCGCAAGGTCGATAGATTGAGCAAGCAACTAGGCTTTTGACCTCTTGGATTCCATGCTTCTTCCTGCCTTGAACCATGTCTAGTCAAAGTCCTGCGACAATGCAGGGACATCCCTGCAGAAGCTCTGGAGACCGCACAGGGTTGATAAGACCATAGATTTGATCAATTCCGATTCCCGAAAAGGGGGAAGGTGCGGACATTCTAGGTTTGGTTTTCAGTCTTGCTTGGTCAAAGTGAGAAGCAGCGTTGCCTCCCTCTGACACGTTCTAAGAAGGAGTCATTCCCACTGAATTTCAATGAGTACCAGCGGGGAAATAAGCCATGTGACAAGTTCCTTTGGGAACTGCCTTGGACAAGTTCGCTTTCCTCGTTTGGCTGTCAGGCGCATAACAATCCATAGTTCATGGCTTCCGCAAGGTCCGCTTTCATTAGGCACGTGGCAGTATCTGTTGGTGTGGGGCGCGCGCATGCGCAGCGCCGCGCTGCGCAATGGCAGAGCCAGCGACCGCAGCGCGCGGCTGGGTTGGCTGAGCCACGAGTTCCGCGAGTTGAAGCCCAGCCGGCGCGGCCACCGCCGATGATGCAGCCGACAAAGACGCAGCCCAACTAACCAGCATCCAGAACCGCGCAGTTGTATTTTCCGAAGGCGGCGAGGCGGGCCTGCCAGTCGACGACTCCTGCCGCGTGGCTGACGCGCTGGCAGCGGCGACAAAGATGCTGCGCCGCCGTCCCAAATGCCCGTTGAAGGGTTGATCCTCTCATGAGAGCGATGCGATGAGGGAAGCCTGACCAACCTCGCCCCGCCCAACATCGTCGCGCGCAAGGAAAGCACGGACGACGAGCTCGTGATGTCACTGCTGAGCTGCGTCTTGGATCTGGGGGTGTGCTGCCAGCTTCGGAAAACGTTTGCCAAGGACCAACACCCCCAGCTGCGAAAACTTCGCGAGGCCATGAGAGTGACGACTACGCAGTGGCAGTCTGCAGCGCGCTGGATATGGGAATCCTGCAAACGGGCAACAAGAATTGCCTGGAGCTGCATAGGTCTGAGGATGCATGGCAAATTGTGGCGAAACTTCCTTGGCAACTACACCATCTAGGGTGGATGCGTGTCCGCTGGAGCAAACATGATAGGATGTGATGATGATGCGAGCTATCGGGGTTGGTTCTGCAGGATTAAAGTAAAGCCAGCACGCAGCTTGCGACTGCGTGGAACGGCTGTGTGTGTGTGGCGCGTGCTTTGCTAGGAGAGAAGCCTTGCAGCTGAATGTGCATTGCCGCGAGATCCTTCAAGGTTGTTGCGAGTCTCAAGCTTGATCACGTTGTGACTGTGAGTAGGAGAAAAAACTTAAACTTGAGCACAAGCTTGCGAGCAACAGAAGCTTATGTTTTGTGGGGCGTGCCGAGATTAAGCCATGGTAACTTTAGCCAGCGTGGATTGGTCTGCTTGGCTTCGACGAAGACACGCGGCTGTTGAACCATGTGCCGCACAACCGACGCAACAACAGGACATAGGGGAGAGGAGCCAACATAACCCGCCCTCCTGGAGTCCATCAGCAGAAGTCTTTCGCAGGACTTGCGTCAGTGCCATGCAGCCCCGCTCACACGCAGCAATGCCAGCGATCCCACTACCGTGCTGGACTCCCTGACATGGACAACGCCACTGCCGGCTGACATCCTGTCTCCTCGCAGCTGTCTTAATACGTGGCAGCCATCTCACCCAACATCGCTTGCCACTGAAGATGTAGCACCCGCAGAGCTAAGGCACGAGCATCCCCGCCCATCTACGCATGGCTGCACTTCGACCCCTGCGCCACACGCAGCGATGCCACAACTTTCTCTCCGTTGCGCAACCCTTCCAGCAGCACGCAGCTGGACCCAGCTGCCAGCAGCGCTTTGTTCGGCTGCTTCGGAGACTTGCATGCCGTCCCGAGACGCGCCGAACAGACGCCGCCGTCTTGGCCATCACCTTTTGGATGGCGCACGCCTGCCCATCAGCCCATGGCCTAGACAACTTACCCACGGAGACCCTTTATAGACAATATCGTCACACGTCCACCGTCACTGGTCGCAGATCGCCGACTGACGCCCAGACAAATATGGCAGCGACTGGGTATTCCAGGCCATCTGGCTTGGACAGAGTCACGAACGAGCCGAGTTCTTCTGGACGAGCCTTTTTGTGGCGGAGACCTGTGGCTCCATCGTTTTCCCCTGCGCCGTGATTGGCGCACGAGCTACCCGGCCTGCTGTTCACTTGTACGTAGTGGACCGCACGAGAGAAACAGCGGAAGCAGCCGTTCTCAAGCCATGATATTTCCGGCAGCTACGCCGGCTTCAAATGCCAGGATTCCCTCCATCGTGTTGCGCAGGATGCCCTGCGTGTTGCGCAGGATCTGCGTGTTGCGCAGGACGCCCTGCGTGTTGCGCAGGATGCTCGGCCTTTGTGTGCGAGATCTTCAAGTGATTGCATAGCCTGGTGGCACGCGTTGTTTGCCGGAGTTCCGCCTTGCGCGCGGGATGCCTTGCGTAGCGGGATCCCTTGCTTTCTGTGCAAGAAGCCCTGCCTCGCGCGCAGGTTGCCTTGCCGTTCGCGCAGGATGCATTGCCACGCGTGCGGCTTTGCTATGCGAGCGGGATGCTATTGGGTCCCGCCCGCCCCCCTCAGCCTCCTGCCCCCTCGCTCACAACTTTTGGCTGAGAACAAGCCGATCCTGAACTTGTGCCCAGGATGCAAGCCTGCTTCCTGCATGCCGCTAGTGTCTGAAGACTCAAGTTTTTTTGTTGTTGAGACGCTCCTTTCACTCGCGAGTAGAACGAGGTAAGCTCGCCCTTGCCCGCCCCAGTAGGCTAAAAAATGCTCTTTAGAATGCAGCTGGAGGCTCCAGATGTCGCGGAGCTGGTTTAGATGTTCGGGAGTATGTATGACACCCGCTGCTCGGGATCGCCGCTTGCCCGCCCCAATGTCCGTTTGAGATGCTGCTACGCGCGTTCAGATGTTCGGGAGAGACCCGCCCCCGTCCGCCTACCCGCCCGCCCGCCCGCCCGCCCGCCCGCCCGCCCGCCCGCCCGCCCGCCCGCCCGATTTTGAAATGTTGCGACGCTCGCTCATATGTTTCGGACTAACCCGCCGTAGTCGGCCGACTCGCCGCATCTAGCTTGAGATGTTGCGGTGTTTTTTTTGGATGTCTGGGAGTCATCTAGCCTGCCGGCCCGCCCGCGCCCGCCCGCACTCGCCCGCGCTCGCCGCAGTATCTGAAGACGCCGGCCGCAGCATCATAAGATTGTGAGATGATGCGCTCGCCCAGGAGATGGATGTTGCGACATCCGCCCCTGTGATCGGGAGGAGCCCGCCCCCACCGCCCGCCCGTCCGCCCGCTCGGCCGATTTTGAGATGTTGCGATGCTTGCTCATATGTTTCGGACTATCCCGCCGTAGTCGGCCCGCTCGCCGCATCTAGCTTGAGATGTCGCGGCGTTCATTTAGATGTTCGCGACTGATCTGTCCGCCTACCCCACCCGCGCCGCTCGCTTGCTCGCCCGACGCAGTGTCTGAAGATGCAGGCCGGGGCATCTCAAGATTTTGAGATGTTGCGACGCTCGCTTAAATGTTCGGGAGTGGCCCGCCCGCCCCGCGTGCCCGCCTGTCCGCCTGTCCGCCCGCCCGCCCGCCCGCCCGCCCGCCCCAGTGTTCGAAGATGACGCCCCAGCATCTTCAGATTTTGGAATGTTGAGCCGCTCCCTTGGATGCGCGGGAGTAATTCCCCGAACGGGGCAAGAGCTGGCACGAACGCTGGAGTCCGGACTTTGGTGGACTTGCACATACCTGCAGGATCCTCCAGCAAAGTTGCGGGGGACCCAATTGAGAATTGCTCCAAGGGCAAAACTTGTGAGTTTGCAGTGCATTCCTTCTTTCATTACACCTCTCGGGCATCGATGCACAGTCGAGGCCCTTTGCGCCGAAGGCTTGCGTCCGTATCAAGGGCTTGCAGGCGAGTCCTGGGTTGCAGCGAATGGGGTGGTCAAAACATGTGGAGATGTGGCCACAGCTGACAACTACTTGCGCGAGCTGCAAAGGCGCGGCCGGAGATGAACGGCCTGAAAGGAGTGCTTATTGAGTGGGATGCTCTGGAGGAACGCTGGCAGGCGCGAACCCACGTTTGGGTTTGTTGCTTGGGCTCTTTAGGCAATCAAACAGAGGTCCTCCTCCCCACGCATTGCACGGGAGCTGGGCGAGACCGGCCGTGCGGTTATTTCAGGTGCAGCTCTACGGCCCAGAGGCTGCGGCACAGGCGGATTGTGGCATTTCCTTTTTTGATTTTTTTGCAACGCGAGGGAGTCCTCCGATGCTTCGGCAGGAGCTGCAGGGAGTGCACAAGAATGTCAGGGAGGACAACCTTGAGCTTATCGAGGGAGGCAGGGAGAGCGGGAAATCGGGTAAGAGCGGAAAGATGAGGGTAGGCGTGGAAAAAAACCATGCGTTTTTGTGCGAGTTGAAGCTTGGTGAGAGGCAAGGCATAGGGTTTCTGTTGGTAGTCCATTCAAGTCCTTGTGATTTGCATTCACGCAAACTCAACCAAGAAGCCGCTGTCGTAAGCTGGAAAGCGCGACTGCGGGCGTGCACTCCTTCTCGGGCATGGGAGTGGCACCAACATATCACAAATGGCCGCTGTGAGATTGGCTAAGCCGTCCCATTGGCTAAGCCGCAGTGCGAGGCGATGCTTCAGAGTCACAGAGCTCGGCAGAGCCCTTTGCCAAAGCGCCGGGCAGCCGAGTCTGTTGTGAAGGCAGGTGAGTAGGGCTGCACCGGGTACTGCAAGCACATTCGCAGAGGGGAACTTATGGCCCTTGCGGCATGTGCAGGGTGGCAGAATGTCATGATTTTCTATTCCGCATGTGAGGGTCTCGTACTTTGGTCCCGGGTCCCGGGTCTTCAAAATGAAGGCTCTGAAGTCAAGAGGCCATTGTCCCATCCTTTGTCGAGCTGCCGGAGAGTTGCAACGCCTATCTTTTGCGTAACACGAAAACTGTATCTAATGTTTTGCTCTTCGGCCGAACAGCTCGACGGAGGTTTGTCTCCAAATGCAGCAGGTTTGCCGTGTCTGCGCCAACTTCCCAGTTGGTGCACTTCCAGATGCCCCCAAGTTTCGGATCTCCAAAGGAAGGGCGAGCTGGCGCTCGGGTGCCGTGTGGTGGTGCGGCAGCTGCAGAAGCGGCCGGAACTCAACGGGAGGAGTGGGGAGATCGTGGGCTGGGACCCGCAGGAGGAGCGGTGGCAGGCGCGGCAGGGAAGACATGTACGGGAGAATCGCTTGCTTTGAAGTGCACAGCGAACGGGACTTTTTGCAGGGAACCTGATGACGGTCGTTGACATATGTTTTTGCATATCAGATATTTTGCTAATAAAAGACATGTGACTCGCACAGAAAGCAAGCACGGGAACTACCAGATGGTTGCTACTGCTGCCAATTCTTAGTGCCAGGTAGCGCTGGATGATGGAGCAGGCTTGCTTCTGAAGGCTGGATGGCAGACGGGCGGACAGGCAGACGGGCAGACTAGCAGACGGGCAGACGGGCAGACAGGCAGACGCTCTGCAGGGCAGGCAGTTTGTGTTCTACCATGCCAGTCACCCATCGCAATCAGCTCAAATCGGTTCAGCTACGCTCGGATCGGATTATATCGTGGGATCGTAGAGCTCGCACGGCCGAGCCCTTGCGCCTGCAGACCAGCAACCTGGAGCTCTGTGACACTGACGCCGTGAAGCCCGGGACGCCAAGAGCTTGTATCGCCATCACTTGGGCCCTGAGCAAACCGCTTTGAGGCCGTGAGTATGTAGATGCAAGAGACTCTATCGATCCACGCCACCATTGGTACTTGGCAGTATTCGTTGGACCACGTTCACCAGCCAGTGATACATCTTCGGCAAGCTGGAGGGGAGCTTGATTGTACGTACATCCTTCGGCATAGCTCAACGTGTTGTCCAAGCATGGCTTGCCCAGGTCTGGACTTGCCGCAGGCGCACGTGTGCAGGTCAAAGGTCTGCAGGCGGGGCGTGTGTGTGTGTGTGTGTGTGGACAAACAGCTGCGCAAGCTCTTTGGCATGACTCAACATTCGTTGCCTTAAAGTTGGTTGCTGCTTGCCAGGTACGACCAGAGCTGAATGGGCTTCGGGGCAAAGTTGTGGAGTGGGACGAGGCTGAGGGCCGATGGAAGGCGCGGTGCGATGGAATGGTTTTGAGCAGGAGCTCAACTGCCTTTCCCATGCTTCGTGGGCACACACTGGAAGGTGCTCATGGATGACGGCTCCGGCAAGATGCTGAAAAGTGTGAACCTCGAGGTGTCAGGACGGTCGCCAGAAAGCTGCTGGCTCGTGTCAGCTTGCGCTCTTGCACTGGCGTGTGGAAGCTCTTTGGCTACTGCCACTTCGGATGGAGCTGGGATGTTTCAGACCATCCTGAAAATTGGGATGCTGGTGATTGCAATTCATGGGGAAAGCACCACACTGTGCATGGGTTGCAGTCGGCCCTGAAACTGCCACAAACTACCTCAACGCTCTAAGCTTTCATTCTTGTTTGCAGGAGCGGATGAGGCCGCCGCAACGTCTTGATGCTCAGAGCTTCCAGAGGCACTCTCGCCAAATAAGCTACGAGCGAAGCTAACATCCCCATGGCTTCAATCTATCCCAGGCGACAGGCTCTGGCCATGGGTCTGACGCGTGCGCACCTGAGGCCCCAGCTCAAGCCGGGTGGCCGGGTACGGGTGGCGGGCCTGCAGGCAAGGGAGCATGCGATAGGCAAGTGGCTCGATTCAAAAGGGTTTCATGCTGTCGGGAAGAAACCTCTGCAAACCCAATCATCGCAAGGCGCGACCCGAGCTGAACGGCCTGTGCGGCACGCTGCTGGAGTGGGACACGCAAGAGGAACGCTGGAAGGTGCCGGAGTGCCGACACATGTTCCCACCCGAACCTGGCTTTTGGGCCCCGACACATCGTCGAAAGTCCGCCTTTCACAGCTTCCTTTTTGCGATTTCCTGCAAGTTTGGCTGGCTGCCCTTTTCAAATCTGGATGAAAGCCGCTCTGCCCTTTGCAGCTCCACTTCTTCCCTCCGAACACTTTCTCCCTGGCCAGGTGCGCTTAGATGAGGGCAGTGGCAAGATGCTGCGTGAGGCCAACCTCGAGCCTCTGCAAGGCCAGGACATCGAGGCTCCGAAGGCTTTGTACTTCATTTGACCTCTTTTAGCAGTATTAGGGTGTGTCTTTTTGGGGGAACATGTTTTTGCTTGGTTTCAAAGGGACGCCAGAAGGAAACCATTTTGGGGGTTCCTCCCTTTTTAAGACAAGCCCATTTTGTGATGGCGATGTGTTGCCAAGTAGACCACGTTAGCAGGTGAAGGCCTTCTGTTTTTTTGCGAACGTGAGCAAGTCCCGGCTTGATAAACCAGCGCCCAGCGCATGCCAGACAGCGAGCTTGCTCGCATGAGCGCGCCAAGGCGCCTGGGGTTTGGGAAACATCTGGTCGCAGGCTCACATGAATCCAAATGAGGTTTCCACGAAGTTTTCTTTGATGTGGGGTATGGGTCAAAATTCAACCAGGGATCACAGGTTTTGCCCTTGGTTGTTGAAAAACCAGGGTTCCATTTTGGTACCTAATGTTTTGATCCACAGCCATGTGCAACAGTTGCCTACTTTTAGCGTGGCTGTTTGCTCCCAAAAAAAGGGGCCGAGTTCCGGGCCAGGATTCTGCTCAGCGCTGGCAGCCGTGTACGGGTGCACAGCTTGCAGGCGCGGAGGTCGGATGAGGAAGCTTGTCTTTGGGAGAAGCTCGGGCAATGTGGGTGTTGTGTCAAAAGTGGGAGACCCCTGAAATGGGGGTGAAAAAGGTGCCCTCAAAATTTGTTTACCCAGGTTGTTGCCAACTTCGAACAGCAAGGGCTAGGTGCCATTCTACAAAGCACCACAGGATCCTTCGGTTATCTTTACATGGATTTGCATCCTCTTTTCTTGATTCATGGCTGGATTTGTGAGCAATGGTCTCCGCTGGAAAGATGGCCAACCTCCAATGGGGACTGACCTGCGTTGCCGAGAACGGTTTCTCTGATGCTGCATTTGTCATTGTCTTCGGAAGCTTTATGCCCAATGGCGCGGACTTCCGAAGAGAACTTTTAAATGTTTCTGCATGTTCCCAACGTGTGGACTGTGCCCATTTCTTGTTTGCCCAGAGCCATCACCCTGTCCTCCAAACAGTTTTGCCTCATGCCTCACTGATTCACCAAAAACCTTAGTCCAGACTTGCCACAAATCTCTGCGCTCACACTGTCGTGGTGTCCAATATCGGTGTCTGGTCGTTTGATCCACAACCTATGATCCGATCTTAGCCTAAGACGTTCATGGCTGCACCCATGCCACACCCTTGCTAACCCAAAAGCCTGATCGTGGTCCCGTTTTATGAAACTGCGCAGTTTGAGGCATGAGGTGGTGTTCACGTTTGAGGCATGGGCACTATTTTGGACCTTGGAACCAACAACCCACAAAGCAAATTAATCTCGCCCCAGGCGCTCGCACAGGTCAATGTTGAATGCTAGGCCTCGACAAGGTTTGTTTGGGGAAACCGTACTTTATCTCCAGAGAATGGAAGTGGGGATCCACGCCGCAAGACACAGCCCTTGCTGAACGGCTGCTTGGGCACAGTGGTGGAGTGGGACGCCCAGCAGGAGCGCTGGAAGGCACGGGCGGGGGGCATGGAGGATGCGACTCAGGGGCTGACCGAAGATTTGCTTGTAATTTCATTGACTTCTGGGATCTGAAACCAAACCCCGCAGACTGAGGCTGTTGGAAAATGGCTGGCATCCCACATGAGTGAAAGCATCGAGGCAATTTGCCCAGGTTATTGCCCAAATTGCTCCAGATCATCGGAGTCTTGCTTCTCATTTCCTGATGCTGCAATGCCCTGGATCTGCCACTGCTGTATTGATGATATCCGATTTGTACGATCCGCAGTTTCTGGGCCCGAACTTCAGGTGCACATGGAGGATGGCTCGGATAAGCTCTTCCGGCCTGCCAACATTGAGCCACTAGGCCCGGCCCTCCGAACTGATGGAGGATGTGGGTCTGCTTGTTTTTTGGCAGGTACCCTTTGTCGGGCGGTTTAATCGGAAAACCGAAAGGAAAACGACCAAGTGAAGGGCTCGCCTGTTTTGACTCAGACACGTGTGTCTTTTCCTATGCGGAGAGGGCATGCGAGTGTTTCCTCTTGCACTGCAGACTGCGTGTTCACGGGTTTGTTCCTCGCTCCCTCCCTCCCTCTCTGTCTGCTGTTTGCTGCCTGTCAGTCAGTCTGTTTGCCTGTTTGTTCGTTCGTCTTTCTCTCTGTCTGTGTCTGTCTTTGGTCAGCCAATCTAAACTTACCTTCTTGCATGTCAGAAAACTGCATTACCTTCACTTCCGTGGTACGGACACTAAATGAAGCTAGCTCTCTGACAGAAGACAAGAGAAGACTAAGCACGCATCTGAAGTGAGTGCGCGTGTGGAGAATCGACATGTCCAAAAGTGTAGCCCCAGTCAGCTACTCGGCGTGCACGCCAGTCACCTCGGTTGCAACGTTTGGCGGAGGCCATGCTGGGAGCGGGTGCAGAGCCGGCGTTGGCACAGACGCGCGGGCTATTTGTGACGTTAGTTTGCGCGCCAGTCGCGGCACTTTTGTGGCAAGCGCAGTCGCTTTTGCAAGGATTTGTGGGCAGGCGTTTTCCAAGTAACGTGTCCAAGTAACGTGCGCGCACTTGGTGGGCGGGGAACAGGAAGGTCCAACAAGCGCTGCCATGCGCGCGAATTGAGCTACTCGGCATGCGCGGAAGTCACTTCGGACGCGCGCGCTGTTTGCGGTATTTGTTTGCGTGATAGACGGAGCGATGTCGGAATGTCTGGTGCAGATTTAATGGCGCGGCCACGCTTGCGCAAGGTCAGGTTCAGATTGCGTAGCAGGCGCAGCGCTTTCGCAAGGAGCAAGAGAAAGAGAAAGAGAGACAAATGAGCAACGGAGAAATAGCGAGAAAAGAAGAGAGAATAAACAAAAAAGAGAGACAGAAGATAATACAAAGAGAAAGAGAAAGAAAAGAAGAAAGATAACAGAAGGAGAAGGAGAAAGAGCAAGAGAACGAGACCGACAGAGGGAAAAACTGAAAAGGAAAGAGAAAGATACAGATAACCATCGCTGGCCGTACTAGCAAAGTCAAACGCGGTGTGACTAACGTAGCGCACTGTGATGTAATGACGCAATGCAGTGTAGTGTTGCCTTAAGCGATATACTGCAATGTGATGTACTGCGTTGCGGTACGCTGTAATGTACTGCAACGCAATGCTGTGCAATCTAAGACGTCTTAAACATTTTTACGTTGCCCGGCTTGCAGAAATTGTTGCAACTGCTTATCTCCTTCAGGTGACGTCGGGCAGGCTCCACCTAGCCCACCGCGAGCTGCCCAAATGCCTTTTGCCCCAGCCCCGGCGCCAGCAGCCCCACCAGCCCCAGCACCGGCAGCCCCGGCACCGGCAGCCCCGGCACCAGCAGCCCCAGCACCGGCAGCCCCAGCGCCGGAAGCCCCAGTGCCAGCGGCCCCAGCCCCAGCAGCCCCAGCAGCCCCAGCAGCCCCAGCAGCCCCAGCAGCCCCAGCATCGCCAGCGCCAGCAACTTCAGTGTCAGCAGCCTCAGCAGAAGCTGCTTTCCAAGAACCTGTGCCAGGCAGGGATGGACTTGGCAGTCATGTGTGCGAGGTGGGCTTTGCACCTTCCTGCCAAACTTGGGCATGCCATGCGGCCCTTAAGATGTGCCAGTGATGCAGAGAAAGAGCGAGAGGG